TCGTCATTTTTCTCCAATTTTGAGATCGCAATTCTGTTGTCAGGAGACTAAAGCACTCACTCACCAATTTTAACAAAGAAATTCAATATACTAAAGGCGTGGTTTTTTTTTTAGAGAGAAAACATCGCATTCGATACTGATATTGAAACAGCACTCAAATGCGATATTTTCTCTCCAAAAAAACCATGCCTTTATTATGTTCAATTTCTTTCTTAAAATTTGTAAGTGAGTGCTTTAGTCTCCTGACAACAGAATTGCGATCTCAAAATTGGAGAAAAGTGACGAGTAGCTGAAGAAATAGAACCAATGGATGCGATACATCGCATGCCTTTCTGACACAAAATATGGCGTCCATTGAATCACCTTAATGCCAGCACAGGAAGAATGATCAAAAACACAAGAAAACTGGAAAATACTCTGTGCCCTCATGATTTGATTGCATTCTATGAAAATGTTTAATCCCTCCCTTGTGTTTCAGGTGAAAGTGTTGAAGAAACCTCGTTTCGACTTGACAAAACTTCTTGAACTCCATGGAGAGGGCCAAGGCACTACCATTACGACCGAATCTGGTGAAAAAGTTGACCGACCTGATGACTACGAGCCGCCTGTTCAGGAATCTGTGTAATTTTATCATCTCCAAAATTATTAATAAATTGTTTTTATAATTTTAATTCATTCAGTATTTTCATTTCATTTTTTCAGCCTTAAATCTTCAATATTAATCACTCGTAACAAGCGTCTGTATCTGCTATGATTTTAAATCATCAGAAGTTACCCCTCTCTCAGAGTCATTTTCTCCTTAAATTCTTGCGCAGATTTGATAATCAATCGACTAATTGAATGGATTTGTCCCTGAGTCAGCCCAATTACATCAGACGCCACCTAATGTCCTCCCTTGTCTTATTGTTTTATCAGAAAACTTAGAAGCATTCATTCTGACTTAAAAGTTTGCAGGTATATTCCTCATAATCTGTGGCAAATTCAGAGAAGTTTCAAGGCATTGTGCTGTTCAATTCTCTGTTATGAGGAACAAAAACGTGAGAGGAAGTCAGGCAATGTGAAGTAGACAGCACTTTGCAATCGGGACTTACAATTTCTGGCACAGTTTAGGAATAATGTATAGACCATTAGTTTCCCTATGCACATCAGTGTTTTTAAAGATGTGCCAGAAATTGTCAAATGCTGTTAGGCTCATTCTAGTTGAACCCATTCAACCGATTATCTCTGGATTTTTTTAACATTTCCTTAAAAATACCCTGTTACCTACATTTTGCTGTACGTACTATGTCAGGCATTCTCATGCAACTTGTGGCCGACAAACCCTAGAATAATTCGAATAGCATATCTCTAGCAAATAGTGCAATTAAGAAGACAAAATGGACGGAGTTAAACAGAAAGGAACCAAGCCACATCGGGATCGAACCGAGAAAAAGAGGTTTAAAGTTTGGCTCCTGCATAAGACTCAATGTAAAAGATAAACTTCAAGTTCAATTTCTGCAAAATTCGCTCCAACAAAAACTTTGAATTTTTGGCGATATATAGTAGAGCAGTGGTTGAGTTCAAAACCACTCATAACTCAATTTTTTCCAAAATGTGGGTTGGTTCCTTTCTGCTTAACTCAGTCCAAATAATCCTTGATATTCATTGGAGGCATACTGTCTGAGTTATCTCAAAGTGTTTTTCGATCAAAGTCAGTGTACAAATACGTTCGGTATTGCAGCTAGATCTTTATATATATCAGGGCTTCAAATTGAGTCCTTGCATGTAATTTGGTTTTGCTATTTAAGTGCTTTTTCTTATGTAAAATTTTGCAAGAAACAAGATGGTGCCACTGGCTTTCTCTGAAATCAATACCCACGCTCAAGAAAAGCAGTGTTCAAGCACAAGTTCAGGCCATGGTGGAGGGGACATCCCATGCTGTGTTGAGAGCTCGCCTCTACATATAGTCTAACTCTCCATGCACAGATAGGGCGAAAATACATTAGCAGAGTTGCCACCTCGTTTGGGAACTCCAAAGTTGGAACCGCAGCAATTTAGCAATCCTGCTAGTGTAATTAAAATAATAAAATTTTCTCACGAGCAACATAATTAAGTATTATCGGGCAAATGCATTTCAAGCAGGCAGCTCATCATCGGTGCAATTGCAAAGTATTTGCTCCCTATCTGTGCATGAAAAGTTTGACCAGATGTTTTTGATTAAGGAAAATTCCCAAAATTTTAACCTCAGGTTCAGTTGGGTTCAAACTGTGATAAGAAAACTGGGGATTTGATAGGATCCCAATTCAATTATTAGCACGAATTACAAAAAAGACCTCAATTTTTTCACTACACCCACTCATTACCTGGGAAATGGAAATATCCATTTTCTAAAAACAGGGTTGGGGAGGAACTGTTGAAAAGGATGCATGATAATGAGGAACGTTTTCTTTTCTTTTATTTAAACAAGTAAAAATATGTAAGTTTCTATGTTTTAATTTTAAATTTTATAGCTAAAAATACATGAAAAATTGCAAATCCTGTACTCTGGGTCTCCATCATTTTCTGTCTTCTTTGCTGTATCAACTTCGAAAGAAATCACTACAACTGGTTTTTTGTCAAGTTTGAAACTGTTCTCATGGGTGAGAAAATCAAAATCGAGGCTTGAAAGTTTCGCCGATTTCCGTACATTTCATAGTCATTTTGTAAAATTTTAAGCACTTGGTTTGAATCGTTTTCCCTCTGCAAAATCAAGCATGCGCGAACGTAACACCATACCAGTTGGCACTGGCACGTAGCATGGGAACTCGAATTCAAATTGTGCGCCACATTTTCTGTCAGCCAATGAGAAAAAATTATGACTTTTCTGGCCTAACCTAACTTTTCCAAGATATCCTCCTTCTACTCTCTCTCTAGTCTATGTCTATTGTCTATGTCTTTGCTTATCACCCAGATGAAAACGTGCATGTAGTTTTTGGTGTACTTAGCTGTTATTAGAAGCTGTTATTTCTCGCCCACAATTAAATACATTCCAGAATATTCGGGACAGAAATATGTGAGGAATTTATTTTTCTTTATCGCTTTCGTTGGATTTTCACGCGACCCTCCTCGTTCGTTTGTAAATTAAAATGAAGTGACACATGTTTTTAGCATTCTCTTAGCTCAGCCATTAGACAATTTATCTGAGCTCCTATGAGTGACTTTCAGATCGCCTTTTAAGTATGTTCAACATGTCACTTTACCTACTACACTGTATGCTAAATTTTGTCTTTAAATCTGCGACTGAGTTCATTTTTCGTGATAAGAGAAACCGCCAGAAACGTGGCCGCTATGAAATCGCCAGAAGTGACAAATTCAAAGCTGATTACAGACTAGATGATGACAACGGAATTGTATTCATCCCTCCAGTCTTCATCCAGCGTTATCATGTTGCTTCTGATGTTATTCGGCAAGAGGTAGCCCTCAGTACCAAACCCTTGAAGGTTCGTATACCTAATTTTTTTTGACTCTGAAGTTCTGCAAGTGAGAAATTTCTCTCTATTCGGAAGAGCTTTACCCATTTCCTCATAAGTAGCATCATGCTTAAACAGGATAGAGAAAGAACGATTGAAAAACACAGAGTTATCATAGTCTTTAGCCCTGATAGATTTCATGTGGATCATCCTGGAAGAGGTCAATCAAAAATACAGTTTTTTTAATCATTCGCTGGATGTGAGGAAAAAGGAAGAAGTAATTGTGAGTTATGAATTCAGATCTGCTTAAGTACACTACAATTTTTTGCACCATCCAGTCTCAATATTTTGAGAATTTTCCTGTCTATCTTCCTTTATTGCTCTAACTGTTGTTTTAATCTTAACTTAGCTCATCTTAATCTCTAGTGAAAAAGGAATCATTCAAATTATTTATCAATTATTATTTTCTCTTCTGTATTAATACTCCTTTCCTTTATCTACATTCCACACTGGTCATTAACCTCGAGAAGGGACAGCATCTCATTCCTCTGTTATCACAAGTTATCACCCGCAGAAAGTGTATCTTATCAGTTATCAAATTCTTTTAATGTCTTATCTTTCTATTAATATCGGCCATCTTTTGATGTTGGTATCGCTGCAGGCTACAGGTAGCAAATAATTGCATAGTGATTTTCCTTATCTGAAAAATCAACTGTCAGATTATTTTCTGATATACTTAATTTTCACCTAGTTTTCAGCATTTCACTTAAGTACTATTTTCATGTGTCATGTATCACATGCATGACAATTAGTTTTGCTCTGTATAATAAATTATAAATCTTCTCAAGCAAACATCTTAATTTGCCAATTCATCCCTAGATTTCAATTTTACCTTATATCTGACAAGAAGAGTCTACATATTTCTAGAGATGCACAATAGTATTAATTGTCAAATTTCATGCTGCCTAATCTGAAAATTATCACAGTTTCTTTCCATCGTCTACTAGCTTTTCAAACTTAAGAGGACAGGATCTTTCAGTTTGGATTCTGCAAGGAGATTGAAAGTTTAGTAGGACTTCTAAATGTTAATCTAAAGCCAAAATATTCATTGAAACGTTTGTTAGCATATAATATGAAGTAAATTTATAGGAATCCTTGCAATTTATGAAATTCATCACCTGAATTTTCTCGTACAAGCAACTTCTGATTACGACCGGCACAAAAGTGATAAATCAGTCTCGTATTTATACTTATTTGGCCCATAGATCTCTTGACATAGTATCTGAGTTGCTCATGAGCGAACAAATAAGGTAGAGTGTTTTGCATTTCAATCAATTTTATTTCTTTGAGTGTTACCTAGGTATTTGTTCAATTATTGTATTTTTTTGGAGCAGGTGGTGGATTTTGGCTGTGCAGAGATCAGCTATTTTGAACATTTGAGAAGGATCGATGGTTTGGAGAAAGTCCTGTGTATTGATGTCGATGAAGAAATGCTGCAAAGATATCATAGGAGAGCAAAGCCCTTGAACTACAATCATCTATGTCCGCGTGAAGCTCCTTTTTCTGTAGATATACTTGCTGGTAGTATCGCTGAATGTGATCCAAATTTGTTGGACACGGATGTTGTCATCTGTATTGAGTTGTAAGTTTTTCTTTGATCAATCAGAATTGCAGCAGGCACATCCCATCTCGGGCCCTGGTACTAGTTTTGAGGGCCAGGCCTAATGACTGCCACCAACCCCCCCCCCTCCCCCCTCCCCTCAAACCGCCAGAAAAATCATTTGACTTAATGCCCAGACTAGAGTAGTGGCATGTAATTTGTACAGGGTTATACCTAATATACTTTTATCTAACCAAGTAGTTTGCCAAAAAGTTCATAAGCAACACTCCCAAGGGGAGAAAAAAGCTGATCAAAATCCAACCAATCAAAAGCCAATAGTTGATTTGACATAGCAAGGCCTGAAGCTGTGTTCAGCCAATTAGTAACTGCTGTTTCTCCTGCCTGGCTATGTCATCAGAGCCCGCCAAAAATACTGTTTCAAACTGATCCCATTTTTGGTACTTTCAAAACAAGATTTTTCTGTTACTTAGGATTTAAAAAAATTCCTGGAAGCTCAATCCTCCTTACTTTAAAAAATGAATGCGAAAATGAGTGCCATCCGATTAAAATTTACTTCTAAGAAAGCTCCAAATTTTTAGCATCTTTGGCATGCTTAAAACATTTTAAAGATGTGACTTTTTCAATAATATAATTTTCTTTCTTTAAAAAAAATATGAAAAAGGTATAAAATCAATAAAAATTTAGTCCCCGATTCAGCATGACTATTTTTCTTGTTTAATGCCTTATTTATCATTTAATATTCTAATAATGTGACGTTTTATGTTTCAGGATAGAGCATCTGTGGCCTCATGAGCTTAATGCTGTTCCATGGACTATTTTTGGTTACACTCAACCGAAAGTTGCTGTCTTTACAACTCCAAATGTTGAATTTAATGTTATGTTTAAAGGTTTAAAAGGTTTTCGACATGATGATCATAAGTTTGAGTGGACACGGGAGGAATTTGAAGACTGGTACGGCAATGTCCTCTTTTTTACATTGTTTTTGTCTTTGCCCTGCACATTCTTTTTTTAAAAACCAAATTTCGTGATCAATCACCACCATCTCAGTTCAAAAAAGGATGGGGGAAAAAAAATCAGTCATGACTATCCTATTCCAAAAAAAGGAAAGGAAAAAAGTAAATTAAAAAAAGAGGCGGTTGCATTTCAAGCATCTTGGATCTCATCCATGATTTAGGGGGGCACTGACACTTTTCATCAGGGATTATCTTGAAAATCGTCTAGTTTATGGCAAAAAGTTATTTTATGTAAATTGTTCGAAATTATATTTTGAGTTGAATTAAGCAACCCCCCCCCCCCCAAAAAAAAAAAAAAACATGGATGTTATGGTCCATTTTACGCACCTTGAACTTCAAATTTTGCATGACTATCAATGCTAAACTGTGCCCATCTACTGTAGACAGTAAGCAAATCGTAAATTGCAACCACCTCCTTGTTTTATTTATGTTCCCATTCAAGTTCATACTGTATGTAACATTTCTGGACCATTCTCTGCATTTGTCAATTTATTTCACAGCACTCCCTACAGACAAAATTCATTAATTGTGATTGCAACTGATTGTAACTTCCAGCTGCAGAGGTTATCTCTATCAGAAGACCAAGAAAACTTTTAAATTATGGTGGAGGGAAAATTACAACAGATTTTTTTGCATTAAGGAGATGTTTACAAAGGACTAACTAATGTATTATCAAAACCTTTAAATTATTGAGTCTCAAATTAGCAAAATTCCACCATAGTACTCAATGAATTTTGTTTCAGGGCCGAAAATATTGTCTTGAGATTTCCAAATTATGAAGTGCGCTTTAGCGGCATAGGTCCTGGTCCTGTAGGAACGGAACATCTAGGATGTGTTTCCCAAATGGCTGTTTTTACTCGAAAGGGATCAGTTGATGAAGAAGCTGTTTCTTCCATTGTAAGTATTCATAATTTATCATGAATGAATTTTTCAAGATTTTATCCTCTGAATACATAAGCAGGGATTTAGAGCTGAGGTTTGAGGGAGCATCATAAACGGAGCCGCATCGGCGCGCG